TCCATTTCACCTCTGCAGCACCTCTGGTCCATTTCACCTCTGCAGCATCTCTGGTCCATTTCACCTCAGCTGCATCTCTGGTCCATTTCACCTCTGCAGCACCTCTGGCCCATTTCACCTCTGCTGCATCTCTGGCCCGTTTCACCTCTGCTGCATCTCTGGTCCGTTTCACCTCTGCAGCACCTCTGGTCCGTTTCACCTCTGCAGCATCTCTGGTCCGTTTCACCTCTGCAGCATCTCTGATGCATTTCACCTCTGCAGCACCTCTGGTCCATTTCACCTCTATACCATCTCTGATTCATTTCACCTCTGCAGCATCTGGTCCATTTCACCTCTGCAGCACCTCTGGTCCATTTCACCTCTGCAGCACCTCAGGTCCATTTCACCTCTGCAGCACCTCTGGTCCATTTCACCTCTATACCATCTCTGATTCATTTCACCTCTGCAGCATCTGGTCCATTTCACCTCTGCTGCATCTCTGGTCCATTTCACCTCTGCAGCATCTCTGGTCCATTTCGCCTCTGCAGCATCCCTGGTCCATTTTGCCTCTATACCATCTCTGGTCCAATTTATCTCTGCAGCATCTCTTCAGTACCCCTCTTCTTCTCCTCTGACACTGTCCCCACTCTCATCACCTCACACCTGGACTATTTTAATAGCTGTTGTGGGGTGAGGTCTTCCTTGAAGTGTCTCCCCACTCCAACCCATCCTCCAATCTCCTTTTCAATTAATTCCATTGGTTCCATATTGTCTGCTCTTCAAACCCTCAGCCCTTTGCTCAGCAGATGACATTCAAGGATGTAGATGCTTGTCACATGCCTGTTATAGGGGGAGGGGATGGGAAGGCACTTGTTGCTCAGTAGTAGGGATACAAAGATAAACATAATCCAGGCCCTGCTCAAGTCCTGCTAGGTAGAGAAGGGCAGGGATAGGGGGTGAAGACTGTATGAGAACAGGGGATGGAGAGTCCTGGTGGAGAGCAGGTGCTGAGACTAAGGCTGGCCCCCACAGAGGTGGACCTTGGAGGCCAGGATTGCAGGCCTCTAGCCCCAGACCTAGCAGAGCCCTCCCAGGCCAGTGTGGTCACACCCTTCTTCTCTCAATGAAGCACTTCTGTCCCATGGAGGGGAAAGGCCTGGGCCGAGGTCACAGACACAGAGGCTATAGTGTAGCATCAGGATTCCAAACCCGGGGCCTCTGCCCATGGGTTTTCCCTTTCTTTGGTCAGCCTTAGGGAAGGAGCTTCTGAAGGTTACTGGGCAGAGCAGTTGCCCAGAGTAAGACCTGTGCTTTGAGAGGGGCCTGTGGAGAGTCCTTGGACCATCTGCCCTCCAGGCTTTGGCCCCTTTCTGAAGCACCTGAAGGGGCTGGGTCACTGAGCTCTCGGTGGCTCTCAGCCTAAGGGACCCTTTTCTCTTGCTCCCTTCCTCACTCACTGGCCTGCCCACCTTCCCCCAGTCCATCCCAGCAAAGTGTCAGAATTGGAGAAGAGTGAGCTGATCAATGAGACCATGTGGCAGTATTATGGGACTCCAGGGGTCACTGGCAACCTCACCCTCTCCTGGAAGAGCTCCCTGCTGCCTGAGCCCAGAGTCAACATTGAGCTGTGGGGCTATCAAGAAACAGGTAAAGCTGGGCTGGAAAGGGTGTGGCCCAGTGTGGGCAGCTGGGTGTAGGTGGTGTATGGTGGGGGGAGCGTAGGACCCAGAACCATGCTAGAGCTGGTAGGGACCTTAGAGTACATCAAAGTTAACTAGCAAGGGAAACTGAGGCTGAGAGAAGGAATGGATTCAAGGGCACTTAGGTAGATAGGAAATGACAGACGGGTTTGGTCAGAATGGCCTTGGAGGTTTGGTGAGTAGCAGGCACCGGGGGGCCAGACCTGGGGCTGACGCCTTTTTGTCCCCTTTCAGGCAAGCCTTACTCTGATGAATGGAAGGCCGAGTGGTCGTACCTCTACACCCTAGCCAGGAACCTCCCTAACGGGGACAACTTCACCTTCACACCGATGCCAGCCAAACCCCAGTACCAGACGTGGGAGGTGGGTGCCCTGCGCATCTCTGGGAGCAACCACACTGATGGCGAGAGGTGAGACCTGGAGGGATTTGCTGGGTCCTGGAGCCAGGAGCTGGCCAGACCCCCTCTTTCTAGGGCCCGTTCTCCCGGGTCCAGTCATTTGGTGTGAGTTCTGGTGTTCAGTAGCACTGGAGGAGATTTAGACAAGGCCAGTGGTAGAAGGCCCCAGATCTGAAGGGTGGCAGGCCAGAGCCCGGGAGCAGGACGGAAGGATGAGGGTGGAAGGACGAGGACAGAGTCTAGAATGAGGCTGGAGGACCAGGGAAGGCCTGGCAGAGGTAGGGGGCTGGAGGCAGGAGGGGGAAGGAGGCCAAGGGCGGGCTGGCAGACCGGGAAGCCGCTGAGGTTGGGAGAAGGGGCAGGTCTGGAGGAGGGCTGGGGGTGGGGTGCTGAAGGATGGCTTCCAGCCCCCTGGGGGTGGCCGGGGTATGGCGGGCATCTTCTTGGGGCAGCCAGTTGGGAAAAGTGGGAGAGAACCAGACAAGAGTAGAGGATCCCTAGAAGATGAACTCTCTGGGGGCAGGGGTTTCTGGATGCCTAGTGCCTAGCACAGTGCCTGAGGAGAAGGGGCCCGACCCACCTGGGAGAGGGGGCCAGAGAATCATTGTCCAGCTTGGGGAGCAGGTGTCCCTGAGTGCCAGGCACTGAGCGTAGAGTCCCAGGAGGGGCATCGGACATGGGGGGACAGTGAGGAGGCCACAGGAAGAGGAGGCATGGGCAGACCTCGGTGGGGGTCAGCCCAGAAGGGAGCTGGGGGGAAACTGCAGAGATTTCAACCAGGAGAGTTGTCCCAGCTTGGACTGGGGGCCTCGAGGAGTTGGCTCAACCTCACTGGCCTCTACTTAGACACTGAGTGCTCATGGTTGGGCACTGAGGTGGGGGGGCTGTCATGGTGGGGTGTCAGGGGTGTCCATGGATGAAAGGCCAGGGTGGGGGTCCCGTCAATTGCACCCCCATTGGACCAGATCCCACCAAAGTCCCTGTGCTTCTCAAGCCTGTGTTCTCCTTTCAGGCACAGCTCAGGGCCCCCTCCCCCTGAGCAGCTGAGCAGCCCCCTCTGTTACTTGGTGCGTTCCGTTCCCAGCCCCACGTGGGGCACACGGTTGGCACCTTAGCAACGCTCATTGAAGGAAGCCAAGGGTCTCTGGGGTCCTGGGTGAGAACCACAGGGGGAGGCCGGGCTGTGCTCGGGGCCAGGCTCACGGGGCCACTGCCCGTGTCTCCTGCAGGGATGTGCCTGCAATCTGGAGCAATGAGCACGCCTTAGCCTGGCACCTCGGGGAGGATTTCCGTCGGGATTCTGCTGCCTGGGCCACCGCCAAGTGCATGAACTGGGTGGCGCTGGACAAAAAGCTGCCCAACTTCCTGGCGGAGCTGGTGGATTGCCCCTGCACCCTGACCCAGGCTCGGGCTGACACTGGGCGGTTCTTTGTGAGTGATGGCCGCGGGAGGAGGGAGGAGGGGAGTCCAGCCCCAGCGCTCAGGGTCGTGGAGGCCGTGAGCGGCTAGTGACCTTGGCCAAGTCACCAAGGCCCAGAGTTAGGAGGGTCCCCCAGGGGCCATCACCCAAACTGGCCCCGAAGACCAGCCCTTCCTGCTCCAAGGGCTGGAGGGGGCAGAGGGGAGGGTCAGGCTGACGCCTGTGTCTCCTGCAGGCCGATTATGGCTGCGATATCGAGCAGAAAAGCGTGTGCACGTATCACCCAGGGGCCGTGCACTGCGTGCGGAGCATACAGGGGAGGTAAGGGGCAGCTTGGGGCTGTGGCTGTCCCTTTGCGTGTGGCCGCCAGCTTGTCTTCAGCTGGGCCAGATTCTGGGAGAGCTGTGATGGGGACATTCGAGGCAAGGGAGCTTTCTGGTTGACCTTTAGCTGGGCCCTGGACATTCCCTGCAAAGCTGTCCCCATTCCTAAGCCCAGCACGGCGGATGACCTTGACCTCATGTCCCCTCAGTTTCCCCGTCTGTACAGGGCCCGCCTCATCTAGTCTGCCCAGTATTGAAGTCAGACAAGTGTGGGGAGGGCCGACCGAGCTGGGGGTCACCTTGTCCCGGATGTTGTGCTCTGATCCCCTTGTCCACTCCAGTCCCCGCTACGCCTCGGGTCAGCAGTGCTGCTACTCGTCGTCGGGGACGCAGGTGCTAACGTGGGACACGTCGAGCGGAAGCACGCCAGACCGTGGCCACGACTGGGGCACGTACCCCTACGGGCGCCCTCCCCGCGTGCCTGGCCTCTCCCACTGGATGTACGACGTCATCACTTTCTACTACTGCTGCTTGTGGTCCCAGAACTGCAAGCTCTACTTAGATATGCGGCCCTCAAGTGACTGCCGCAGATACAGTCCTCCTTACCTGGGTGAGGGACCTGGGGCCAGGCCAGGGAGCTGCCGGGGGGGGGGGGGGGGGGGGACAGGCCAGGGAGCTGCCAGGGCAGGGGTAGGGGGATGACAGACAGACCAGGGAGCTAGAGAGCAGGGGGTGTAGGACAGGCCAGGGAGCTGCCGGGGTCGGGGTAGGGGGACAACAGACAGACCAGGAAGCTGCTGGCGTGGGTGGGGGATGGACAGGCCAGGAAGCTGGACAGCAGGGGGTGTGGGACAGACCAGGGAGCTGCCAGGGTGTTGGGGGTGGGGGACGATGGACAGGCCAGGGAACTAGAGAGCAGGGGGTGTAGGACAGGCCAGGGAGCTGCCAGGGTGTTGGGGGAGGGGAAATGACAGGCCAGGGAACTGCCAGGGCAAGGGTAGGGGGATGATGGACAGGCCAGGGAGCTAGACAGCAGGGGGTGTAGGATAGGCAAGGATGGTGGGGGGAGGCAAGACAGGCCAGGAAGCTGCCAGGATGGGTTGGAGCCAGACGGGGAGCCTGGTGAGGTGAGGAAGGGTCATGCTTGAGCTTGGACAGTTTAAGCCAGACCATTCCCGTTCCATTGAGGCAGCTGGAGATATCTTTTACTTGTATTTTAGCAGAGTTTGGTTAAATCTCTCATGTTCTTATGAAAAAGGAAGATGGAGATATGGGGTCTAGGCACATTCTTGGTGGGACTTGGGACTGCTCAAAAGGCCAGCGTCAAAGAGTAGGTCTGTGACCATCTTAGCGAGGGGCTGGTCCTTGGGCAGGTGGGGGGCTTGGAGGCTGCCGGGGGAGGGAAGAACAGGTGGGATTCCTCCCCTAGAGATCCAAGCTGCTCCTTCCACTGTGGAGCCCCATGGTGCCCGATGCTGGCCCTGACCCAGGGTTGTTCTGTGTGCCAGCCTCGGCCTTTGGGGACCCTCACTTCCTTACATTTGATGGCGTCCACTTTACATTCAACGGCCGTGGAGAGTACGTTTTGGTGCAGTCTGACCTCACAAAGCTGATGGTGCAGGGCAGGACCCAGCCACCCTTGATGTCCAATGGTGAGTGAGGGCTTTTGCTAACCTGTGGTTCTTGCCCCTAACACCTCAACCTAACACCTCACCTTCTCCGGCAGAGAGAATGATCAGTGGTGCTCACTGTTAGGGTTCCGAAGAGTTTTATGGGCACTATCTCTTTGGCACAGAGAGATTAGGTCCCCGGCTAGGTGCCAGACACCTGCTAGAACGCCTCAGACGGATGTGAATGCAGGTCTACCTGACTCCAAGTCCAGAATTGGATCCCTTCTTGGCTGAGACACGCCCGGAGGAAGGCAGGGAGAGCCAGGGCCCAGGGATAGAGCTAACAGCAGGGAGTCTTCTGGAGGGGACAGGCAGGTTTTGAAGGAGGTGGTGGGAGATTACCTGCCTCAGGGAAATTCCATTTTTTCCACCATCAAGGCTGGACAGAGGCTCAGGCTTGGGCTGAGTTCAGGCCTCAGGGCTTGCTCCAGAATGGGAAGGGTCACACGGGCCCCAGCTAGGGTCTGGCCAATAGCCTGGGATCTTCATCCCACAGGTGCCCAGGCCTCTGCTACAGGCATCTCGGCCGTGGTGGTGAAGGAGAACGTCTCTGATGTGGTGGAGGCCCGGCTCGGGGGTCCGACTGGGAGGACCCTGCAGGTGCTGCTGAACCAGGAGATCCTGAACTTCAGTGAGCAGAGATGGTTAGACCTGAAAGGTGAGACTCCTGGGAGGGATGGGGCACCGCCGGGCCCGGGAGGGGCTTCTGAGCCTGCTCCACTGGCAGGGCCCCATAGCCTCGGAGGCAAGGAGAGGGGAGGAGCAAGCAGTGGGCCCAAGGCCGTGTGCCCAGACATCTGCCAGCCCTTGGCCACCGGACCTCCGAGCCCCGGCCTGTCGCAGTCACAGAGATTGTCCCCAGTCCCCTCTGGGGAGGCCAGCATTCCTCAGTAGGCGATGGCCAGGTTTGGGGAGGTGGGGGAGGGCAGCTGGAGGTGGGTGGTGACGAGACTCCTCCCTCCACCTCCCCTGGAGGGCCTCATCCCCCTTCTTGCTAGCGCCCGCAGCCCCCTGCTCTGCTAATCCAGCCAATATTCCTCCTTCCAGCTCTCAGGGACCTAATGTGACCCTTGCAGGTCACACCTGGCTGCACGCCTACACCTGCTGCAGTGCCTGATGTCTCTCATACAGGCGGGTGGAGACTTGCTTACTTTCTGCCCTGTTCTTACTTATAGGTCTAGGTGTCACTCAGGTTCACTCAGGGTCCAAGGGATAACCTGGTCATGGAGGAATGCGGCCACCCCCTCTCTCTCAAGTCACTACTTTAGCTCATGAGGCCCCACTGATGTGTTTCCATTTACATACACCTGCTACTCCTGATGACACTTTACATCTTAAACACAGTAATTTACTTTGCAAAAGAAACAATCACATTGTGGGTGCTCATCTATGAGAGGGAATGTGTGAATAATCCAAAATAAGGCCACAATGCACACTTCAGCCTTGATCACAGTCTCCCACAAATGCACCCAGAACCCGTGGGAGGGAGTGGCTGTATATTCACAGAAACCTTACAGATAAGGAGGCAGACAGGCGAGGAAAACCCATGTGCTCAGGATAACTCACAGCTCTGCAGCTGTCAACATCAGGGTGCTTTCCGTCTCGAGGATTGCCCAGAAAAGTTTCTGGGTGAATGCAGCTTCTGGTCTGCACAAATGCTTCCTTGCTTAGGAACACCTCACTGGCCGCCAGAGTCTGGGGCCTCGACCGGATGCGATCCTTCTCCACGGCAGCTTTTGTGTACATCACGGCCAGCTCTGGACTTGGCTGAGAAGAGTTTCCCTTTCACCTCTCTCTTCCTGGGTTCAGATTCTGGGTCCTTACTGCCAGTGACCCCGCCTTAGCTGAAGGGCAGTAATCAAGTTCTAATTTTTATCTCCACAGAGGTCATTTGCCTCTGAGATAGAACTCTTAAGTCAGAGTAACTTGGATATCTGTCTTGGAACCCTGTGCCCCAAACAGGACAAGTGAACTATCGAGGCAGACATAAATTGCCCCACGTGAGAGGGCCAATGCCTTACACCCAGCAGCCTCTGCCCCACTGGTATCTGAGCAAAGATCCCAGAGGAACAGCCATTCAGCCTCGGCTTGGGGCCCTCTAAGAAGGAGGAGTCCAGGGATCTGGGTTCAAATACCGCCTCTGACGTTTACTGTCTGTGTGGCCTTGGGGAAGCCAACAACCTGCCTGGACCTTGGGCTAGGTGGCTCTCGGATTCTGTGTCTGCTAAGGCGGCCCAGTCTACTCTGGAACAGCCACTCACGTTGTGGGAAGCTGTTTGGGACACCCAGCCTCCCTCCCTCTGCCTTTCCCTCATTGCTTTTAGGTCTGTTTGCTGCTCACCTTCAGACTGTGAGAGGCAGCTGACCTGCCCGCCCTCGGCCTTCTCATCTGCAGCTAAACGTGCCCAGTTCCTTTGGCTGGTGGTCCTATGGCAGGTGGTCCTCTGGGCCCTTTGGCATGCTGGCTGCCTGCTCCGGACCCTCCCCTTCTTACTCTTGGAGGCACGGCCCCTCTATGGCAGCCCAAGGCCAGATCTGTTCTCTTAGCTTCCAGACTGCTGCTCTCTCCTAGGGAGCTCACAGGCCCTTGGAACCCCCGGTTCTTTTTCTCAAGAAAAGCTCCCCATCTTCAGTCTTGAGGGGGTTAGCTCTTTCAAGAGGCCCCTGTTGTCCCACTGCCAATGTGGGGGTACTGATCACAGGAAGGAGGGCTTGGGGGTGCAATCTGGGCCTCCTTGGCTGTGTCAGGGTCCTCTTGGGGATCCCAAGGAAGGACTGCCCATTGCTGAATGTCCTTGGCGAGGATGCCAACGCGACGTTGGCGAGCTCATCCTCCCCACCTCCCTGGGCCGGGCTGAGGAAGATGGGGATGAAGGGAGGGCCCACCACCCATCCCCCACGCCCCCAGCCTGAGTCCCTGTTCCTTTCCCAGGCATGTTCTTGTCGGTGTCTGGGGACCGGAACGTGTCGGTGATGCTGGACTCGGGAGCGGGTGTGGAAGTCCAGGCCCACGAACACTTCCTCAGTGTGAACATCCTTCTTCCTGAGAAATTCATGGGTCACACTCAGGGCCTCCTGGGCACCCTGAACAACATCCCATCTGATGACTTCACCCTGAGGAATGAGACGGTCCTGTCCCCCGACATCACCTCCGAGCCCCGCAAGTTGTTTGAATTTGGAGCTGACTGTGAGTAATGCCACGCCTGGGAGGCAGCCCACGATGACCCCTGAGGGGCCAGGGCCAGGAAGGGCAGGCAGGACAAGGATTGCTAGCCCATTTAAGAGATGAGGAAACTGAGGTAGACAGGGAGGCCAGCTCTGGGCTTGCTCCTGGCCCTTTGGAGCTAGGAAAGGCTTCCGAAGTCATTGCTCCGAAGGAATGACCCGAAAACCATTCCCAACAAAGGGTCTTCCATTTTTTTTGCCTGAGACAGCCCTCCTGAGCCTCCCCCCCACTCCCATTCAAGTTCACTGAGCATTTATGGAGCACCTTCTGGGTACCAGGCTCTGCTTGTGCCAGGGACAGGGCATGCAAAGACAGAGGAAACGGGCCCTGCTGCCCTTGACTTGTCCCTTTTCCACATGACGGCTTAGAGACTTGGGCACCTCACCCTTCCCCCTGAGCTTTCTCTTTCCGGGCTAAACCCCACCCAGAGACCTTCAGTTCAGTTCAGTTCAGGGAAATGCGTCCTAGGTGCCTACTGTGTGCTCAGCACTGGGGGTCAGTAGGAAGTCAGGAATGGAGCAGCTTGCCCTCAGCCAAGAAGTGTTCACACATCCGGCTCAGTGCTGGGGGTACCAGGAGAGGTAAAGGTAGTCCCCACCCTCCAGGCACTCCCCCTCTAATGGGGGAGACAGCCGGCACACAGCTGCGTACAGACAAGACACGGACGGGGTGAAGGGAAGGGATCAGGGATCGGGGGAAAGTGCTGGCCTTGAGCGGAAGCGGGCAAGGCCCCTCTGCTGCTCCCATCCAGGATGCCGGGAGTCCACTTCTCCCCGCCCAAGGGCCAGATGTCCTGCCTTCCCCTTGGGGGGAGATTCCTGCCATCTTGGTGCCTTTGAGCAGAGGTCAGAAGAGCAGGGTCAGGCTGGAAGGTGAACAAGGGGAGTCATGACGTGTGGGGAGCGTGGCCGCAGAGGCCGGTCAGTGCTTGGCTTCTCAGCGGTACTAGGGCCGGACAGTGGGGGTTGTGGCCCCAGGGGCCTGGGAGATGCCACAGATCAGGCGTGTTCCCGTGGAATGAGGCGTGTTTCTGAGGTTTGTCTTCTCTGAATACCCTAACGGGGCAGGGGATCTCCTTCAGGATAGGAACCCTGCCCTTGCCGAGCTCTGCCCACACAACCCAAAGCTCTCTCCTCAGCCCCCGAGGCGACCTTTTCTGGGGTCAGAAGCTCCTCTCCTTCCCCTCGTTGAAGATCTAGTAAGCCATGAGCCCCCACAGGCCTGGGTTTGTGCCAACCAGCCTTGGGGCCTGGGGCCTCCTGGTGTATATCTCGCTTCCCACTCTGCTCCTTCCCCGTCTGACCCAGAAACCCAGTCCCCGGGGCTACCAAATGAGGGGAAAGGAGGGGGTAGAAACAGCCGCCAGCCATCGGTTCATCAGGAGACATTTATTAAATACCTACTGTATGCCAGCTGGGGGGTGCCAGAGGATAGAGCACCAGGCCTGTAGTCAGGAAGACCTGAGTTCAAATCCAGCCTCAGATGCTTCCTAGCTGTATGACCCTCAGTTTCCTCATCTGTAAAATTAAGTGGAGATGGAAATGGCAAACCCCTCCAGTATCTCTGCCAAGAAAACCCCGAGTGGGCTCGTGGGGAGTCAGACATGACCGAACAACAGGTGTGTGCCAGGCTTTCCGTCCTCGGTCAGGCCGTGGCACCCCAAGGTTGCCGGAGCGGCCTGAGCAGGGCCAGGAGGGAGGGGCTCATCCTCCCCATTCTGGCACCTTGATCTTAACGAGCCCCAGACGATCACATCAGCTTTCTCAGCTACAGCTCTCAACCGGCCGCTGCCGACAGGAGTGGGGGTTGGGCCGGACAGAGACAGAGGGGGAAGGGCTGGGGGGACCCCTGCTGCTCTGGCTCCCCCTGCCCCAACAGCACGTGTGCTGCATCTGTCTCCCCAGGGGCCATTTGGAATGACTCTTCCCTGTTTACCTATGATTCTCCATCTCTGGTGGACAGCTACCTCCGCCAGCCCAAGCATGACTCCACCTTCCTGCCTGTGTTCACACCTGGGCCCCTGACACCCCAGGTCGCCAGCCTCTGTGGGGGCGACCTCTTCTGTCAGTTTGATGCCCTTGTCACTGGGAGTCTGGACGTTGGCAATGCCACCCGGGTAGCCCACGAGCAGCACCAGCATCTGCAACAGAGCCTGCAGCCAGGTGAGAGGGGAAGTGGGGGAGGAGTGGTCATGTGAGGAGGTGAACCTACGGGTCAGGTGGGGGAGATTACCTGTGATCAGGTGGAGGAGGGGCATATGGTCAGTGGGGGGATTACCTGTCATCAGGTGGGGGGATTACGTGTCATCAGGTGGGGGGATTACCTGTGATCAGGTGGAGGAGGGGCGTATGGTCAGGTGGGGGGATTACCTGTCATCAGGTGGGGGGACATGGTCAGGTGTCAGGAGGGGCTCTGGGAAGCTTCCTTTTATGCCCCAGCAACAGGAGATGAGGAAGAGGGGAAAGGAAGGGACTCATGCAAATGTCCTCCACTTTCAGTAAAACCAGAGGCAGGGTCTCAGCTGAGAGAGTGGAGGGAGAGGCACCATGAGAGGTTCCAGGAGGGCTGAGCCGCTGGGGAGCACGGGGAGGAGTGGTCACTCATCACTAGGAGTGAAGGAGGAGGAGGATGGTGGCCTGCTCCAAGGCAGAGGCTCAGCTGGAGGCTCACGAAGGGTCCAGATGGGGAAGGGAGGAGAGTGTGGTCGGTGCAAGGGAGACGGTCCGGGAGAGAACCAGGAGCGAGGCACCGGTGAGGGTGAAAAGCCTGCGTAGGGCCTGTGAGGTGCAGGGAGAGCTTGTGTCACCTCAGGGTGTCCTGGGGTTCGTGGGCTCCCCGATCTTTGGGCAGTGACTGAGCCTTTGCGGTTCTGACCTCCCGGGCTTGGGTCGTCTTCTCAGTGGTGTCCTGCGGCTGGCTCTCTGCCCCAGAGTATGGGAAGAAAATTGGAACCAGCTACCTGGAGGGCTCCGCTGTCAAGTTCAGCTGCGCTCCAGGCTATACGCTGAGAGGCTCCCAGGAGCAAACCTGCCAGCCCAATGGGCAGTGGTCAGGAGTGTGGCCGCAGTGCAAGCCAGGTAAGGGATCTGCAGCTGCCCCCTCCCAGTGGGCGGCCTGCAGCCTGGGCCCAGGGGGTCCTCCCCATCGTGGCCTAGATTGGCCATGCACAGCCCCCTCCCTGGTGTGCAGGCTTCGCTGCCTCAGCCCCTGAGCAGCCCTGTACCTTGTGCCTTTGCTCAGATGTTCCCTATGCCCCAGCCAAGGTCCAGTGACCACAGCTGGGTGCTAATCATAAAGGCTGCCTCCTGGGAGGGGAGAGACATGCCTCTCCAGAGGCTGAGGGCCAGTGGTGTCCCAAGAGGGGCCCCTGGGAGGGCCCCAGCACTCAGGCTGGAATGGAGCCTTCCCCACCCCAAGCTTTCCCTCCATTTCTCTGTGTCTCCTTTAAACCACAGATCATACCGTGCTACTGGGAGTCATCTTTGGGGTGCTATTGGTGGTGCTTCTGGCTATCCTGGGCTACGTGATGCTGAAGAAGAGGAGAGGGAGGATGTAGGGCCTCTTGCAGACATGGATTCCATCCCACACCTGAGTATTGTGCCCACCTGGGGACCCATCCCTCACCAGGGTGCCCATCCCTCACTGGGGGCTCATCCCTCACT